AGTGGTAATGGCAGGAATGGCCCCACTTAGAGTTACTTCCAATGACCCATTGAGGAACTTTACGTTTTCTATCCCCATGACTTAAATGCTCTGGTCCTTCAAACACACTTTTGCTAGGGTCACATAGAATTAAAAGTATGATTGACCTCTAGGCTCTTTGGATTTTCTAAATGACATAATCAGAGACAATAGGTAAGAAGTGGAATATCCATTGTTGCAAGGACAAGGGACCTTAATCATTAGGAAGAATTATCCCGTGTGTCTTATCTGTGTCTTGGTAATTACTTCCACAATTATTACTGTAATTGATCAGATTCAGTAACTTAGACCTCAAAGGGCATGGCAACAAGACATTAAGGACTGCAGGGATGGAAATTTGGGTCACACCACCAGGAAAGCCACCAATTACAGCAGAAATAGTAGTTAAAAATAAAAGAATGTAGAATGGGTAGTGAAGGAGGAAATGACACATTTTTTTGTACAATCAAGACCAAATTGATAGTGGGGACTGGTCCTACTTGACTCCATCTTCTAAGTTTACTTGCAAAAGAAGCTACCAGAATCTTAGATGATCTGCTCCAAAACAGATCTTAAACCTGAACATCACAATTGGTGGATGTTGGTAGGTTTGGAGCAAAAAAATTATTAAATTGCCCTCCATGAAAGGAATTGCCATACAGAGGAGCTCTCCTTTGATGTCCACCTCAGTTTCAGAGTGCCCCTTTGACCAAGGTTATGCTCTTCCTGGGTATTTCATACCTGGTCCCTAAATGAGGCATTGGCATAAGGACCTGGTTATCTTGACCTCATGTAGGACAACTTTACTGGATAGTATTCTCTTTATGTTGTTCTACGATTTTGTGGCAGATTTGTTGGGGTATGTGGCAATTCAGCCTTTCCCTCTGACCAGTAATGGCCCTTCCTCCTTCTCCTTTTACAAAAAAAAAAAAAAAAAAAAAAAAGTCTTGCATCCCAAATGCAGCATCGGATCTCTGACAAAGATTTTCAAGGCTATGAAACTAGGTTTCTAGGGATATATTGAGACTTACGTTCTCCCAGGAGTGAGCTCTCACTGTTAATTAACACTTGCATTTGCACATGATGAAGCAGTAGACAGTAATAATTAAAAGACTCTTGATCAAGAGGACTTGGGCTTGAATCCTACTCTACTGCCCACTAGATCAGTGGTTCTTATTGGGGACAATCCTCTCCCTGCTCCCCCTATCCCCACACCAGGAAACATTTTACAATATTTGGAAATATTTCTGTTTGTTAACAGTGGAAGGGGGTGCTATTAACATCTAGTGGGTAGAGGACAAGAATACTGCTCAATATTTTAAAACACATGGGACAGCATGCACAACAATGAAATCCCACCCAAAATGTCAATGACTTCCCTGAATGAATATTTTCTTTTAAAGATTTATTTTATTTATATAAGAACCAGATACAGGCCAGATGTGCAGGAGGGTGAGAGGATTCACCAGAGACAGAACCGGGAACAGAACAGGCAAACTGACGAAATACAATGCTGAGGGGAGCAGCAGGCAAGACAGAAAAGGTCTGCTCGCCATGTGGGTTGCTCTGAGGCTGGCGGGGATTGAACCAGTGCTTTAGAGGCTGCAGACAGTGGACACCTTCACACCGCTGCGCTCAACCACCTGCACCACCAAGGAGGACCCTAAATGAATAATTTTGTGAGAACTACCTACTCTTAGTGTGTTCATTTCCTTTCATTGCTGTAACAACTTACAAACTTGGTGGCAAAATATATTCTGTTACAGTTCTAGAGGCTAGAAGTCTGAAATCAGTCTCACTTGGCTTATATCAAGGTGCTGGTGGGGCTGGCTCCTTCTGCAGGTTCTAGGGGAGAACCCGTTTCCTTACTTCTTCCTTCTTGAGACGTCAGCAGGATTATGGCCCTTTCCTGCACCACTCCAACCTCCAGTTTTATAATCATTTCTTCTACTCTGTATCTCTTGACTCTGCTGTTTACCTCTATAAGGACCCTTGCAATTACTTACAAGCCACCTGGATAACCAAATAATCTATCCATCTCAGGATACTTAACTTAAGTACATAGGTAGTCTCTTTTGTTACCTACAGCAGCATAATCACAGCACTCAAGGATTAGGATACTAACACCGCTGGGGTCACTCTACTTATACCAAACCTTAGTTTTCTTATTTGTACAATGGAGATAATGAGAGTAACTGCCTCTTAGAGTTTTGGGGGTAAGAAAGGGATTATATGGATACTTTTTAGCAAACTATCTAAGGCATAGGAACTACAGTTAGCATCATAGTGCAGACACAGAAGACACACTATTTGTATCACAGCATACTGGCCAGGACTGCAGAACATCATCCATGCTGGTAAGCACAGAAAGTGCTTCCATATTTCCAGGGTATTTCTAGCTTGCTTCTGGCTCTGGCAGAGTGAAAGATTTCAACTGGTACATCTTATTACATGGGTGGCCGAGTTATTGAACTCTATTGACAAAGGACTGGATTTTCCAGCATGATGGAACTTCATTAAAATTCTGCAGAGACTGAAAATTCAATAATCTTTCTCACAAAGCACTGCATGAGCAGGGCTGATTAGGCAATTTCTTTCTCATTCCACTTCTTTTGCTAAAAGCATTGTTACTTCTTGTTTGGTACAAAGATACAATCATTAAATGAGCATTCGCTATAGGTGATTAAGCGGAAAGTTTTAAAGGTGCACTGACTCCCTTCTCAAGACCTAATTGAGGGCTTGAAAGGGGAGGGGAGGGAGAAAATAAAATAAAACTCCATTACCATATTCTGACCTGACATAGAGAAAGCATGATACTAATAAATACTTTGCAGGGTTTTTTAAGACACTTGGTCTCCTTCCTGTTTGCTCAAATTTGCTTCTCTTTATTCACCAACCGATTGCTTTCTCTCTTCCACTGCCCAAGCCTCTTCCTGCTCTCCTACATTTCCCTGGAAGAATTAACTTATGCTGGACATAATACATAGTTGTGCCCAATGAACCTCACATTTCTCTGATTATACCTGCCATAATTATTGGAATTGAAAACAGATAACTCTAAATACATATCTTTCTATCCACACTTAGTATCTAATATCAGATTATATTATGGAGAAGCTTTAGAAATTCTGAACAACTTTCATGTAAGTAACATTTTAGGATAAGACCAAGGAATTTACCCCATTTATTCACATATAATCTCTCTCTAGTTCCATCCCTCCATCCCAACCTCCCTCACTTCTCTTTTCTCTATTTTTATATCTTGAAAAAATAAGCTTTGTCACAATAATTTTCTCTGTAGAACATAGGTAACCGGACTTTGCCATGAGAACAGAGATACCTTTTTATTTTTATTTTTTAAAGATTTATTTATTTATTTATACAAGCACTGGGTACTGTCAGAAGCACGGGAGGGTGAGAGAATTCATCAGAGCCAGAGCGGGGAGTAGAACAGGCAGACTGATGGAATACTCTGCTGAGGGGAGCAGTGGGCGAGAAAGGATAGGTCTGTTGCACCATGTGGGACCCTCGCCGGTGGCCGGGGATCAAACTAGTGCTTCAGAGACTACGGGCAGCTCAACCACTGCGCCACCAAGGGAAGCCCAGAGATACCTTTTTAAAATGTCTTGTTCACTGTTAAATATAAGTACTTAGAAGAGTGTCCAACAGATAGGTATTCAATAATGAATTGGTGAATGAGTGAATAAAGGAATAAATCTCCAGGGAAATAACAGGTATGATCTGCCCTAGCAGTTGGCCAATCTATAACAATAATGCGATGGGGTTATTTAACTTGAGTCGTTATGTAGAGAAAATATTCATTGAAAGCAACCATTATCAGAAAAAAAGCCATATCTGAGATAATTATATTTAAGAGAAATGTAAATGATTATCCACTGGGTTCTGATGGAAAATTCCTAAGAATCTCTATTTCAGTCCAGTTCAAATTCCTCATTTTGTATGACCCAAGTCCTGCTGATCCTCTTAAACTCAGGTCACTCTGTTTTTGTCCCACAACAACTTGCTCTAGGATGCCATTTTTTTATATTAGGCCTTTATACTCATTATTTTATGAACTAGGCTAAAGGTCAGATTTCAAATACAAGGTCTTCGTCATTGCAAAGAATACCTTAATTCCAGTCAATGCCTCTATAAAATACCTACTGTAAATTACTCATCTGTCCAGTTTCCAGAAGACTCCAGGTGCATTCACTGATCTGAGCACCCTCAAGGTCCTGCCCAATATGTCCTGCCTACATCTGCAATGAGAAAGGCATTTTATTCTGATCCCTTTGACAGAAACAGTGAAATCACTCTGTCATGTCCCATAGGACTCCCCAAATGTTTGGTTCTATGGAAACTGCAAATTAAAATTAAAACATGAGTCCAGAACTTATCTGCAGTTTCCAGAGTTTGATCTCCCTGTGTCATGAACTCGCAGGTAAGAACTACCCTGAATGCAGCATAGGATACGGACAATCCCATCATGTGCTCTTCCATCTCAGGAACTCTTGAATGATTTCTTTATGACTTGATATGGGGTTATATGTGTGTTCTGAGGAAGTGGGTGGAAAGGACAGCAGAAAATGAAAAAGCAGAAAATAAAATGAAATGAGATGAGAAAAAGAGATAGGCTTTTCCTTGTGGCAGACTAGATAGTAGCTCACCACAGGACATCTGTATTCACTATGAGTCAAGACGTGGAAATCAAGGCAGGGAAGAGAGAAGGGACTCTTCAGGAGTCAAGGAGACTGCCACTAGGACTGAATTGGTACCTCAGGCAAGTGGGAAGCCACCTCAGCTAACAGGCCCTGCCAGGCCAGTGTGGCATGCTGGGAGAGCTAAGTTTGCTCTCTTGAGCAAAGGCATCAGGTCAACCATAAGTGCAGAAAGCAGTGAAGAAATGAGTAATGCATACTGTGGGTACTGGCAGAACCAGGCCCAAAAGATAACTAATGCTTCATTTAATTCATTATTTATAGAACAACCATATTGGCAAGACTTTAATTCTTAAGAGCTCAAGATTCATGTCCCTTGTTCTTCTCTGTTCTTTTTATATTACTGTGACATCCTAGACAAAATCAGAAACTGGGTCATCATTGTGTTCAGTGCATGAGCTAGCTCTTTTTCTTTTTCCCACTTTGGAATCACAGGCCCTCGGGAATTTTCTTCACTTTCCTGGAAAGAGTCACTCTCAGATGGCTTATGGGACAGAATCAGTTGGAATTCTGGGTGAGATCAGCATTTGAAACAGTCGGATTAAGTAGATTGTCCTCTTCAATGTGGGTGGGCACCATCCAATCTGTTGAGACCTAATAGGAAAAAAACTGCAGAAGGATAAATTTTCTCTCTCTGACAGACTGAGTTGAACATCAGTCTTCTCCTGCCATCCTTTCTCCTAGTTCTCAGGCCTTCAACTTGAACTCAACCATACCACCAGCTTTCCTGGGCCTCTAGCTTTCAGATAGCAGATGGTGGGATACTCAGCCTCCAAAATCACATGAGCCAGTTCCTTACAATAAATTTCCTTATATATAATATGCATTTATAGATGTTTCTCTGAAGAACACTGACAAATACAAAATTTCAAAATGTCATAAAATATTTCTGAATATCTTTCCTAAATATAAAATACAGATCTTTACACTTTTCATTTACTATTCAGAGGTAGTGTAAGCACTCATTTTCAACAGAATGTTCTGCAGCCATTTTTATGATTTTCTGCCTTTTCTCTTGGGCTAAAAGTCAACAACTCTTACTATATCAGGATTCCTACCTCCAGAGGCTATGGAACTGTAAAAGCTACAAAAACATGAAATGAAGCTTTCAACTCTGCTTCAACTACCTGAGACCAAATTTTCTCCTTTATACAATGAGGATAACCACTGTTGAGAATTGGATAAAAAGGATTATCTTAGCACTCATTAGGTACATAAAAAGTTAATATTAATGTGGTCATAAATAGTTAATTGAAATGAGAGTATATAAATAAGAGGAAATGGGGGCACTAGGGATAGTTGGAATGGTAAGATAATTCTGGAAATCAGAAGTATAAGAAATTCCATATCTTCTCACTGTGCAATAGTCTTGACTCCACCTGTTAAATTCCAATCATCCTCTGAAACTCAAAATTGGGCTTCACTGGTGGTGCAAGGGATTAAACACAGCACTGTGAAGCTGTCTATAGCCTCTACAATGCGAGTTCAATCCCCAGTTGGACAGGGAGCAACCCACATGGGGCGGCAGACCTCTCCTGTCTTGCCTGCTGCTCACCTCAGCAGTGTATTTCAGTCAGTATCCCTGTTCTGTTCCCCACTCTGTCTCTGGTGAATCCTCTCACCCCTTGCACCTCTGGCTTGTACCCCAGTTCTTGTCTGTATAAATAAATAAATCTTAAAAAATAAATAAAATTTCTACCACAAAGAATCCAAGGTTAAACAAGTAAGATATAGATGGAGAGAGAGAGGAAAAAAGCGCAATAGAGCAAAGAATTGACTTATCCAATTTTCGAAAATTTCTATACATCTTTAATGTATAGGGTATTTCATTAGGAAGGGAAGACTCCAGCATGAGCTGAAACTACAGTCCAAAGGCAGCATTTCTTTTTCTTCCAGGGGACCTCAAATCTACTCTTAGAACCTTTCAACTCTTTCAATGAAGCTCATCCAGATTATCTAGAATAATGTCCTCTACTTGAAGTTAAATGATCATGACCATTAATTGCCTCTTCAAATACTTTTATACCAACAACTATATAGTCATTTCATGACTATGCCATAGGGATTATGACGTAGCTAAGTTGACATATACAATAACCATCACAACCCTTCATCTTTTTTTTTAAGATTTATTTATTTATTTATACAAGCACTGGGTACAGTCAGAAGTGCGGGAGGGTGAGAGAATTCACCAGAGCCAGAGTGGGGAGCAGAGCAGGCAGAAGGACCGAAGCACACTGCTGAGGGGAGCAGCAGGCGGCAGGAGAGGTCTACGCACCACGTGGGACTCTCCTCTGGTGGCTGGGGAGCAGCCGGGGATCCAACCAGCGCTGCAGAGGCTGCGGGCCACTTTGCAACCCAGCGCTCAACTGCCACCGGGGAGGCCCAAACCCTTCATCTACTATCTCCACTGTAGCACTAACCACATGGGTCTAACTTTAGAATTAGGTACAAAGGCATATGCTTTTCCTCCAACAAATACATTCTTGAGGGCAAAATGTATGAAATATCATGGTTGACTCCCAAAGAGTAGATATGGGAACTCTATCCGTATATGATTAATTGAATTCCTAAATTCTCTTTAATGAAGAATTCTCTTTTCTGGTGACTGAGCTTGCCATAAGTTTGATCTCTGCAGTACATTGGCTAAAGGAGGTAATAAGCATTAATTTCTTCATTCTGTATTAGAAAAGTTATGTATGTCCTAAAGTAGGATCTTTAGAAAATGTATAGTGTGGGTGACTATGTGTGCATGTCTGTGTGTGCCAGACTGATGAAAAACATAAATCAGAGACAACTTAATTTTATTTTACTTATCTTGGTGTATCTCCTATGGACTTATGTGTTCATATAGACTATAAATTTTAGAAATTCTATTCATTGTTTTTGAACTGTGAATCTTTCACAAAGGGGAAAGTAAGAGGGACATGTAAATATTTATTTCAGTAGAGGCTAATAGTTGAAGTTAACATCTAAGAGTCACCATTATAGGAAAGATTTTGAATTAATCTTTTTATGTTTCCATTATTCCTGTACTATGACAAATAAATAAGTAAAAATGAGTAACAGTGTAGAAATACCTTTAGAAAACACAGAAGGAATCACACTGTGCCCTGGGATATGCTTAAGCATAGAAAAAGGGGTGGTGAATGATATTCACAAAAAGGCAGACAAATAGTGGAAAATTAGGAGAATTAGGAGAGTGAAAAGGATGTCTAGTTAGAAAGAGAAGCAAGTAGAACCCAGTACTATGTATGTCTTCTCTCAGAAAGACAGAGAACAGAAAGAGAAGCACAAAATCAGGAACTGCTCTTCTGATTCTGAATGAAAGGAGGAATCCAAAAAGATCAAAGTGGCTCAAAAACAAGCCTGCAGGCTAGTTTAGGATTGAAGGATTGAAGAAATGTCACTCAACCTGGCAGCAAGATTAACTATTGGAATCCTTCAAACCAGGGTGTTCTAAAGTACTCAGATGTTTATGGGCCAACAGGGGGACACAACAGCCCACTGAAGGGACAGAGATGATGAAAACCAGGATGAATGGAAGCACTTGAGAGGGCCACTTTCAGTTGTATAAATGCAAGGCCACTCTTGGCCCTGTCTGGAAGGGAAGTATAGCAAAGATGATTATGGCTGGATAAAGAATGAACCCACCTTGATTCCCTCTGTTAGACAGGGTTTAGGGACAGTGTGGAGTAATAATGGTTAGAACAGGGCTTTTGGGGTGGAGAGGTAGAGTCAAAAGAAATAGTGTGTGTACTTGATTGGGAAGGGATTGTAGTCATGCCTGATCCTGAAAAATGGCTACTGGCAAGACACGAGTCCAGTGAATTCATTAAGGGAGGAAGATTCTGACTGAGGAGCTGAGCTAAACAGTAGCTGACTGGGTCACACAGAAGCCCAGTTCCAATACAATTAAAGCCCCTTTGTTCACCACGACCCTCAAATGGCAAAGTGGCTTGGAGAACCATAGCTGAGTGTGAAATGATTTTTTCCCTATACTCACTGTGAAAAAGTCTAAATGAGGGCAGAATATGTAAGAAAGAACTAGCTTCATTCAATGAGTTTAAATCCCTGACCAAAATAAGGAATTTTCCTCACTGCTGAGAGTCCTCACTTACGAGAGTGCTAAACCATTCATGCCAATTTCTGAGATCCAAGATTAAAAGGAAGGTATAAGGAGATAGGTGATGAGCAAATGTGGTTCTGTGGCTGATTGCCTGGTGAGATTATTGTCAATTTGCTACAATATATTCACTTAAAAGGTGATTTATGAGCACTTTGCTTACAGGGATCATTATTTTGGTTTTAAACATGAGCTCACAAAGAAAAACTCCTAACAGATCTACCTTTTTTCATTTCTATCCTGGTAAACCAGAGCACAGTTCTGTTTAGAAATAAAGTTTTTTAATTTTAACACAGCATTGACATGGCCTCCCCTTAAATTCTTATGGACAAGACTGGATAAATAGCACAATTGGTGGCTTAATAAACGGTAATGATTATACTCAGTGAGTGACAATAGACTGATATAAACATAGGAGGTCACTTATGTAATGTTAGCTTTGGATTTACTCTCTTCAATGTTTCTTAATTGATTATGATATTACTAAGAATAATAGCAGCTTTTACTTTGTTTTTCCAGATGATACCAGGTTGTATGTACTTTCTCCTTAGACCTTCTCAAAATTCTATAAATTAGATATTAATACCATCCTTTTTGTAAAGGAGGAAACTAAGAATTAGAGATTTTCAATTATAGCAGAATTGCAGAAGTGGCTCATGTGAATTGCACTTAATAATAAATCCTGGAGAAATTTTAGAAATGAAAGTAAGGCATGGATCCCAGCAACTGATGACAATAGCAATATCAAAAACCTGTGGAAAGCTCTGGGCTATTGTTGGTTGGGAAATCCAGTGAAAGGAAGAAAATGAAGGTTGGAGCAGAAGTGGATGTTTCATGCGGTTTGGGGCAGTGCCTTGATACAATCCCCAGTTACCACCTTAATGGAGAAACTTGCAAAAGTAAACCAGACCCTCAGTGTTGGCTTCTAAGGGCTAATAGCAAGGCAGCGCAGGACTTAGGAGTTGGTTAAAGTTGGTGCTGTTAGTCAGTTCTCTACAGGCATTCACTGGCCATCCCTTCACATCAACACCTTCAAGGTGTGTGCTCTGCTGTAAGGAAATGACCTTTCATTACCTTTCCAAGGTTTAGCAGATAAAACCAAGATCAAAAGAATTATTTGATGAAAAGACAACAAATGAGAGTTGTCTCTGGCACCTGGAGTTTTCAGTCCATAAATTTAGCCCTTCATTTCCTTAAATTAATGAATTTAAGGTTCTAATACAGAGGTAAGCATTCCCCTAATTTCTTCTGCAAATCATATCACCAGTCAGTGTAGTTGATGCCCACAGCTATATGAACGCACAGACTCTGATAACAAGGTATGAGAATAGTACAGCTATCTCATAAGGCACACAGGGACTCAGATTATGTATATACCATCACAAGTAAAAGTGTTAAAGGAAAGATGATCCCACTTTCATTATTTTTGTGCTACATTATGCTGGAGGACCTAGCATTCCAATAAGATTTTTCAAAAAGACAT